AAACATGCGAAGATAGAGCACACTGTAGAGTGCTCAGACATGTGAAGATAGAGCACACTGTAGAGTGCTCAGACATGCGAAGATAGAGCACACTGTAGAGTGCTCAAACATATGAAGATGGAGCACACTGTAGAGTGATCAAACATGTGGAGATAGAGCACACTGTAGAGTGATCAAACATGCGAAGATGGAGCACACTGTAGAGTGCTCAGACATGCGAAGATAGAGCACACTTTAGAGTGCTCAAACATGTGAAGATCGAGACTTTGAAGGACCTTGGGGTGTGAGCAGATAACAGCGAAGGATGATGGGAAGGAGGGTGCTGAGGAGAAGCCTCTGAACTGAGTCAGCATCTAGAGAGTCCTGTGTGAGGTACCAAAAGGCCAGTGTCCTCCACCACAGCTGTCTCCTAGGACTGCTATGGCAAGGAACCACACATGGCGGTGCAGAGTAGTACTTACCTTCCGTGGTTCTGGAGTCCACGAGCCTACAGCCGAGGCTCCTCAGAGCGTGTTTACCTGTAGCTCGGGAAGAGAGCTCTCTTTCCCCTCCAGCTGCCGATAGCCTCAGATACAATGTCTTGGTTTGTGGCAGCAGGATTTCCATGGCTGTCTCTACCATCAGTAACGGTGTCCCCACCCCTCTCATGTCGTCTTCCGTCCATGCAGCTGATCTCTTGGCCTTTCCTTCTGCCTGTCCATCATCACTCTTCCTTTCTACACACATATTTCGCCGTGCCTGATAAGAATCTTCCAGCCTGAGAATCCACAGTTAAAAGGAAGGCACAGAAGAAAAGGCCTCCGGATCAGATGAGCGTCTCCAAATGGGAGGAAAGCGACATTTTGCCAAAATCATCTTGTGAAAACTTTCATGCCCTGCTTATTTAGTTATCAAAAGTGTGAGCCCCAGGTAGTGTTGGCAGCAGGAAACCTGAAGCACAAGTGGCAGCCATGCTTCCGGCACGAGCTGTTAGCAGCCCAGTGCTTGAGCGCTGCTGAACAGAGCACTCGTGTTTGGAAACGGTTTGAACACAAAGTGAGCTGCTCCCCAGAGCTCGCATGCAGGCTGAGCTCTCAAGCAGCAGTGTTCAAAGGGGAACTGCGGGGCAGGGATGGGATCGTGAGGCTGTCTGGCTTCATCGCTACTCAATCGATTAATGGATTCACAACTTGACGGTATTATCAGGAGGTAGTGAAACTTTGAAGGTAGGACGGACCTGGAGAAAGTAAGCTGCTAGGGATGCATTTTGCTGTCCTTCACTGCCATCTTGATACCTGCCTGGCCTCAGCCAACAGCCTGGGTGCCACACAGCGTTTCTCTTCACTTAGGCCTTTCACATTAGCCTCCCAAAACCTTCCCGCTGTCTCAACTTCGAAGACTCACAGAAATTAGCAAGTATTCTCACCTATGTTATTACTGATGAAATGGACTGGTCATTTGTATAACAAGCTGGATAGATAGCATCCTCTGAGTAGGCCACAAATTATATCTTATAAACTAGTATTTCATTTGGATAATGATAAAATAACCTTGTCGTTCATGATGCTAAATCAGTGGATACTGTCATAAACAATACAGAAAGTTCCACAGAAATCAAGGTTTTTTTTCTAGCCAGATTTCAAGATATTTCCTGATGCTTAATCTAAAAATGTTGGTACCTGATCTAGAAATATTGTCTCTGTTTCTTCATAAGAAACGGTTGTGGAAGGCTGGAGAGATGGCTGCCTGGTAGAGCATGAGGCCTGAGCTGGGACCGCAGCACCCGAGTACAGAGCTGGAGGGCAGCACCGAGACCCCAGCACTGAAGACAGCCCGGTTCCCAGAACCCACTGGCCGGCTGGGCTGGCCTTTCTGTAGACTCCAGCTTCAGTGACAATAACCTGTCTCAAAAGTTAGGGTGGAGAGACACAGGAAAGGAGGAAGACAGTAACATCAGCCTCTCGTGTTCATATCCATGTTCACACACTGACGTAGAGGAACACATGGACACAAACACACCACACACATACAAATATAGCTGTTAATTGTTTGGCTAATTCTCCCCATAGATCGTTCTGGAATCCATGAGTCTGCAGTCAGGTGTTTCAGAGCCATGCTTCTCCTCTGGGGAGGAAAACCCATGCCGTCCCCAGCTTCTTTTTTTACTTTTTATTTTATTTTATTATTTATGTATTTATTTTGGTTTTTCAAGACAGGGTATCTCTGTGTAACAGCTCTAGCTGTCCTGGAACTAGTACATAGATTTCCTCTGTCATTTAAAATGTCAGAAACCACCTAGGAAATAAAGATAGGCGCATAGGTCATTTCTTCTACAGATGTCTTAGAAGAAATATATTTTAAGTGTTAAGTAAAATAAAAAGACTCTCTTTAAAAAAATGCACTAACACAGCCATGCATCATTAGTACTGTCTTACTGAAGAAGAAGCATTTCAGAGTCATGCCCCAGTAAGTGGGCATTTGGGCCCAGCCAGTCTGGATGTCGTATTGCAGCAACCTGAGGTGAGGGGTTTCATTTGACTGCTGAACAAGTCCTTACCACCAGCAGAGCTGAAGGTCATGACCGTGGTCATTGAGATTTTGGTCCTGGCTCTGATCCTAAAGAACTCTGATCCTAGCTGAGCCTCGGTTTCCTTGTGGCTCCCATTCAGAGCTGAGCTATCGTGGAGTTTGCACTCAGCTCTAAGACTGTCTTCAGCCTACTCTGAAATGGGCACACGTCCTGAAGAACAGAACACAAACACTGAATCACGCCCTAGATGAAGGAAATGTCAGAAACCCGGGTCGTCTCTGCATCGTGAACACTGTATGCCTTTTCTGAGATGAGACAGCACAAACTGAACGGAATCAAGGAAAATAAGAGGCCACTCGTCTGGCATGTGCACGGCCCAGGTTAGGTCCACGTGAACAAGCGTGGCAGTGTTCATACAGCGTGTTCCAGCAGAGTGAGAGCAGTTCTCAGAGAACTCCAGCAGCCCAGAGTCTTGTGGGGGCCTTTGTAACTATCTCACAATTACAATTATGGAATTTTCTCTTTCGTTCTGTGGCATGTTTTTTTTTTCATAATTAGTCCTGCAAGCTAGTCCTGAAAATGATGCTTAAAAACGCACATTCCATCTTTGAAATGGTGTAACGAGGGATGTGAACCTGCCTGTTACTTCTGTGCTCCTTTGAATTTCTACAATTAAGAAACAGCAGCAGCGAGGTGGCTGTGTCAGCCTTGATGTGAGAGCTGCCCACCCTCCTCTCCACCTCAGAGGTAGACTGAGATGGTAGGAGGCGTGACTGGTTTTCCGTGCACTGATTCTGGTGGTTTCCCAAGGCCGCTATAACGGAGTTTCACAGAGCTGTGTGGCTTGGATGGCAGCGATCGCGTATGTCAGCTCTCTCTGCTGGGGCTAAGATTTAGGTGTCAGCAGGGCTTGCTGCTGCAGTGGCTTCAAGCAAGTGTGCCAGGCCTCTCTCTGTGTAGCACCTTGATTTAAGGCAACAAAACCTTGGCATTTGGATTACATTCTCCTAATGTGAGTGCATGACTCTGAAGCTAGAGGTGTGTGTGTGTGTGTGTCTGTGTGTGTGTGTGTATTTGCCTAGATAGTTGAACCCCCTAATGGTCTCAGAAAGATAGCAGATAAGTGTATAACCTTGATTATACACAGTTCAGCAGTGCATGTCACCCTGCAGAGGTATAGCTTCCAATTCAGTTCTTCTCAGTGCACCATGTCTTACTAATCATAACACAGCCCCTGTGCACTGAGCTCTTGCTATTTACTGCATGGCTCTAGTAGGGTGCTTGAGCACACGTTGTTCATGTATTGTTTACCTTCAGATGAATTCCTTGTCTTCCCCTGAGATACTAAGCATGACATCTTACTGAATGTCTCAGAATTGCCAAATTCAACTTAGGTCATCAAGTAATTGTTTCCCATCAGAGAACAGCTGGAATGTTCTGCATGTGGTGACATCTCATAGAGCAACCCCTCTGTGTCCATGTTACCAATGGCAGTCTGGTATGATGTCTGCAAGCAGCGTGGAAAAGATGTGATTGGTGTGTGTGTGTGTGTGTGTGTGTGTGTGTGTGATTGTATATACAGCTCTCCCTTGTTTCTGAGTGGGTTGCTTAGAACACACACACTCACAAATACCCAGATCTGCAGGTGCATATTTCTTATATAAAATGGCATGGTATTTGCATAAAACTTTGCACATCCTCCAGGACCCTTTAAATCGTCTTTGAATATCACACCCAGTAAACCATGAATGCTCTGTGAGTGATTGTTATACTGCATTGTTTAGAGAATAATAGCAAGGAAGAAGCCTGTTCAGTAGTGATGCTTTTTTGAATATTTGATGTTTTGTTTTCATTCAACAAGTGGTTGAATCCACGTATACAGAAGGTTGGAGAGAGACACACAGAGAGAGAAAGCGAGAGAGACAGTTGTCACATACTATGTCCTAAGAAGTCTTGAGTTTGGACAGATGCCTGCTGTGGGCCTAAAAGACCAGGACTTTGGAATTTTATGAGAATAACCTAACTTACAGTGTTTATAAAAAAGTGTTGTAACAGGTAACTAGTTAAGCCATGACCAGTTGCCTCTGGGCTGTGTTGGAGCCTTCCCTGAGCCTCATTTCTGTATAATTAGTATCTGATCAGATTGGTGCTTGAGGTTCTTAGAACCTATTCTGGTTCAGTAAGCTGTATTTCCTGGAAATCAAACTTTTGCTTTATTTTGCCTGAGAAACTCAGTTAATCTAAGGAATTTTCCTTTGATTTGTTATATAGTTATTAAAGATGGTGATAGATACGTGGTCTATATGTGCATAAATGGGGGCAAAGAATATAGTTACTTTATGGTCCATCTACTAAATGTCAGCCAACCCCACTTCCTATTCACACAACCTTCTGGAACTCAGCACTACACAGACCAGTCTTTGAAAATGTGGAGGCCTACGTATCAGTAGAACCCATACACATCGTCCCCTGTACCCACACACACAGGGAGCCCTGCCTAGACACAGCATAACCACTTCTGTGGCCCCACTGGAACAGCCAGCATGGCCCCTGCGATCCCCAGATGGCTTGGTTTGGCGCTTCGCGTGTAGATGGTCATGAAGTAAGAGTCTCAAAGGTACACCTGCCCTGATTTCCTGCTCTAGATCCTGCACTTAGACCGCTTCTCTATACCTGCCTCCCCCATGCACACTCATGCATCTCTACTTTCTCCAGCCCTCGGGTCATCTAGAGACTAATCCTTGAGTGTGACAACAGAAAACAGAAAATAGAGACGTCATTTCTTATCAGGACACATCCGAGGGTTGACCTGGGGCTGTGATAGACTAGTCTCATTCTAGCCACCCCTCGGGAAGATGCCCACACTATGAGACAAAGTCACACTAAAGCTAGAAGCTTCTAAGTGGCAGCAAATCCTCAGTGCAAAACGATGCTTCTGTGACATAGGGAGTAGATGGTACTGGGGAGTAGGGATTTTATGTTCGTAAAGAAGGTGGTAAAATTGACAGATGAATGGAGAAAGTGAGTGGAAGTGACTTTTCCGTGGCTTTTGTTTCTACTCCGTGTGTGTTTGCGTTGTCTAGACGAGTATTCTTTAAAATTGGGATGAGGGGTCAGGCCGTATTATGTAACCCAGGCTGGACTTGAACTCCCCATCCTCCTGCCTCAGCGTCCAAATGCTAACATGTGCTACCATGCTTACCTTGAGAATATTCTTAAATATTTCTTTTGCTACCAGCTTATAAACTAGCCGTGAGCAGGAACAATTTCTGTACTTTCTGTTCTCCAAAGCAGCATGTAATTTCTGAAACTAGCGTTTGCGTGCTGGTGTCTGTGCCACTTACTTCCTGTTCAGACCCTGAGAAGTACGCTGTAGAGCTGCCCTGCCTGTCTCCCCTTAGCAGCCAGGAGGACGGGGTCTGGTGTATACTCTGTGGCTTTCATTGTGTCTCTCCTAGTATTAAAGCTGCAAGGAATTGTCGCCAAGCTGCCCTTGTGATACATGCTTACAAATAAGGTTTGTGTCAATGTGTCATTTTACCTCTTTCCAAGTAACAGATTTATAAATAGAAAGCTTTTGCTTATAAAATGCCAGTTGTTTATGACTAGACATTGGCATTAGAATGGTACCTGTCTTCCCAAGGTCTGGAGGCTGTAGATAGTGTAAAAATGTGTATTCAAGGATTCTTATCATCGACTCCCTAAAATTCAAGAAAGCATATTATTCTTGGAGAGAATATTATTTCATTAAACTAAACCTTTGAGAGGATTTCCAGAAGAATCTGTTTTCCCAGTGTCGTCTTTATAATCTTTCTGATGATTTTTACAAACCTCCCTGACGTTCCTAAGCCGTCTTATCTTTGCTCATGGTGGCCTCTGCAGTGCCTCTGACGGCTAGCCTTCCTTCCCTCTTTCTTTTTTTCCATTTGCAACAAGGAAAATAAAGCACGAACCCCCCTTCTCTTAATGGTCTGCATACATCAGGATTTCAGCTGTTTGAGAGCGGGAACAGTGAAGCAGGAACCTCAGATGATGCCGTGAAGACCGCACCTGTTAGGGCAGTAACTGCCAGGTGAGCTTGTGGCCAGCAGGGCTGGAGGAGGGAGAGGAACAGCTGGGAGAGCTGGTAGGAGATCGCCGGGAACAGAAAAGGCTTAGCACGGGCGGATCGTGCCAGCAGCCTGCAACAAGAACCCTGGAATCGGGAGTAGGGCTTTGGTTTCTCCACATGGCACAGCCGTTGGCAGCCTGTTTCTTTGTCAGGAGCAGCCGCTGTATTGCTGAGCCGCTAAGCAGTTAGTCTGTTGCCTCACATGATTGCTGAGAACATGATTGCTGAGAAGGACTGGATATTGAAATTTAATGGGCAGAAATGTCTGTTCTGTCTGAAACAGGGAGCTCTCTAATTTATTGTTCTCTTGTTAAATCACAGAACGCCAGTGAACTAAAGGGAAGTGGTATGCATTCGTTTATGGATTTTTCCTTTACCAAAAATCTATCAAATTGCTGATACTCATCACTTTGACAAATTGGGGATGTGTATAATTAGCTGGATTAATACCTGATTTAGTAGGCATATCCCAGGGGAGCTGATTAATAAATTGCTATCTTCCTGGAAAGAGGCTCTTAGAGTTTTATCCTAATCCTGTCTTAGTCAACACCAGGCCGCATCTGGGTGAAACTCCATATGCTGCTTTAAACTGAGGAGGATAGCTGGGATCAGGAAGACCCAGTGCTGAGACCCAGAACTGCCATGGACACTGTGTAAGCAGCCTCTCCCCAGGCCAGTTGCAGAAGGCTCAGAAAGGAGAGATGGCGCTTAGCCCCACGTTTTGGTTTCGCTAAGATGCTGTATGCAGCAGGATAATGTAGCTGATAAGAAACGGCTGTGATCTCTGGCTTCCTGTATAAAGAATGATAGGCAGGGCAGCACAAATCCAGGTTCTGTACCGCTCTTGACCAGCCACGTCCAGTGGAGAACTGCCTTTGAACTGCTCGAGGAGAACCCAAACAAATGGAAACTGGAATGGGGTGTTTGCCCCAGAAGTCTCTTCCTGCCTTCCCTCTTTCCTCACCACCTTTCCCCACACCCATTAGCATGCCTTCCCCAAAACTGAACTGCTTGTGGCTCAAGCATGAAGTATTTAGGCTGTTTAAATGTCCCCCTCTGGAGGAGTGCGCCACTAACCACATTCACTGTGTCTCGTCCACAGTGGACGCTTGCTCAGTATCACTGGAATCTGTTTGTTCAGCTGTAATTTCCCATGCTGAGATGATAGTGTCATGGTCTGGCCCGCTGGGATGACTTTCGCTGCCCAGACCAGGCCTTTTATCAACTGCAGATCTCCTACCACAGGTGCAGGTCCCCAAACTCACTACCACATTGCTCTGAGCGGCTTTTGGCAGGTGAGTTTTTAGGCACGTCACAAACTCCATGTTCGGACCTTCATAGGAGTGCCACTGCCAATGTTCAGAGCCTGTACCAGTCAGGGGAAACTGTCGGTAGAACAGGTGTGCAAAGACCGGGCTGATTTTCACAGCCTGCTGGCTCCGGGAATGCAGGGAGAGGAGCTGGATCGGGGGTCCTAAAATCCCACAAGACAGAAGGAGCTGCTGAGCTGAAAGTGTAGGTTCGGTTTCAGCCAGTCCTCATTTGTAGTATACGTTCACAGATGGCCACACACATGAAGGAGCCCAAGGATCACAAAGTCCATGAGGATTCTCCTCAGGGAAGCTCACACGTGGTAGCTTGCCACAGAGCGAGGTGCTCTGCTTCAGCACAAGCTTGCTGCAGTTCTTCGAGAGGGAACTGGAAGACATTATAATGTCTACACCTTTTGGGATATTCTTTCTTTTTAGTGAGAGCTTTACCATACAATCATCCATTTAATGATGCAGCTTAATGGGTATTAGTATATAGCATCATTTGTAGAACATTTTTACCAGTGTCTACCTCCCATCTTCCCCAACTCTCAGCAGTCACTCTTTCTCTATGAATTCAGCTCTATTTATTTGACCATTTTTGGACATTTCTTACCAATGAGATTCCATAATATTCAGGATCACGGGTTTCTTTCCCTTACCATGTCATGTATTCAAAATACATCCATGTTGAACCTATGCCAGTATGACATTCCCTTTTATATGTGACTAAGGTGGCCATTATGAATCATATTGCTATGAACCTCTGTATGCCTTGCTTTTGTGTGGATTTCTGGTTTTGTTCTGGTTTCTTCCATATGTACTTAGAAGTAGAACTATTAGATGAGGTGATAGATCATAGTTGACGCCTTCAGAGAACTTCGAGACTGTTTGGAAAGTGGGTGATTGTCTTGCACTTCTTGCGGAGGGTCTGCAGGTTCGAATTTCTCCACATCCTGCCAGCACACGACTCTTTCCGCTGGAGCCCGAGGAGGCAGCATCTCTGTCCTTTGCATTTCTTTGATGATGATGTTGACAGTCTGTGAATTTGTTGGTCCTTTTATAACTTCCCCTGGAGAAATGCCTACTCAGACCCTTTGCTCAGTTGGGATTTGGATGTCTTACTGCGTTTTAAGAGGTTTTTTTTTTATATATATTCTCGCTACAATTCCTTTATCAAGTGACTTGTACCTGTTTCTCTTCTTTGGGATATCATCTTTATTATGTATAGTTTTCTAAGTCTCACACCTTTTTTATTTTGTAATTTGCTAATTGTGTACTTGGCATCATATCAGGAGCTGCCCTGGCCAGATCTGATCTCATGGAGATTTACCTGTGTTTTCTTTCTTAGTAGTTTGTTGTGTTTTTACCTCTTACATTTATCATTTCAACCTAACGTTAACATTGTGTGAGTTCAGAATTCCAGGTTTGCTTTCGTAGGTGGTAAGTGCTATCCCATTGAATCCGTACGCCTGCCTGCCTTGTTAGGTGGTGGTAGCACCACTATCTCCACCACCTTGTTTTCCTGGGATAGTTCTAACTCATGCTCTACCTATTTTGACAATGCAAAATTATGCAGCACCCTAGATGGTTCAGTTAAGTCAAGCTCTTCGTTCACGTCTGGTACTAGAAAGGGCGTGTTGCTTTTTTTCTGTGTGTGTCTGTGACCCAGGGATTCAGCCTAGACCTTCGAGCGTGACACACCGTGCTCTACCACAAACTCACAAACTGCATCCCCCGCCTTGAAATTATATTTCTAATATGCATTGTCAGAATTCACATTTGAAAACAAAAACAACCCTGACCTGAAGCCATTGGACTTGGGTAATTAATCTTGCTCATCTTTTTGACTGATTCAAAAGAGTTTTCTGAGCTTGGGCACTAACATAGAGAAGCCCAGAGAGGATTAGAATCTGCATCAGAATACATGTGCCTGGCGGGAGCCTGGGAGGAGGCTTACTTGAAAGCTGATGAACGAGTAGAACAATATGGCCAGAATTCCCTGAGCCCAGGAGAACTTCACTCAGTGCAGCCTTGTCCCTCCCACTTTGTGTGACTGACAGAGAGAGACATGGATTTGAGTTAGAGAAAGACAGCCCAGGATGTACCTCTCATTCTGATCTTTTTAGGTTTAGTTTATAAATAAGAAAATAATAATGTAGTTGAATGCATTGGCAAACAAAAGAAAGCCTTTCTCCCCTGACAGCTAGCAGAAAAAGAATAGTTGTACCTTCATATAATATAGATAATGTGCCGATTCTACACTGAAGAAAGCAACACTCAGAAATTACGATATAGTCAAAAGAGCAGCAGTTAATACAAATCTGGGTGGCTGATATCCTACAATAGAATGCGAAAAACAAAGCAGAATTTGTACCTCAGTTTGCTAAAATAAAGAAGTTCTAGGTCTTAGACAGCAGCCCGGATAGCCTCATTAGAATGAGCTCATTCCTTCATTGTCCATTCCTCTCCTCTCTCTCCTTGCCCCACCCCCATCATGGTGTCTCATGGGGCTAAAGAGGCAGCTCATCAATTAAGAGTACTTGCTGCTCTTCCAGAAGAGCCAGGTTGGGTTCCTCAGAATTCCCTGTAACTCCAGCTCAAGGGGCTCCCACACTTCTTCCGGCCTTCACTGGCACCCACACACATGACATACAGATGCACACACAAACAATATTTTAAAAGATAAAACTAGATATTCAGTGCAGAAGAGATGTGTTAAAGGATGGGAAGTGAAGCAGAGAGGAAAGGGAGGTGGGAGAAGGGCTGGGCAGACCAACGACAGGATGTGGGAGCCTTCCGGAGCTGCCTCCATTTCTGAGAATCCTTCTCATCTCCATAGTGGGTGCTGATGGGAAGATAAGGGATCAGACCCACAGGCACTTGGTCTTGATGCATGCTCCTCACCACCACAGCTTCCTTCCCATCAGAAAATGTCAGAGTTGAGTCACGGCTTACCTTGCCAAAGACTCTGAATGTTCTTTTCAGGTAAAGACTGCGTTTCACCTCCAATGTCGGTAACAGTTGCTTGATCTTAATTGTACTACAGTGACGTACAGATTTCTCTGTCACAAACTGGGAAGACTGAGAAATTTTTTTAAAAAAAAGTAGATTGATTTATATTGGATCAAATAATAATGTGACTGTTATTTCAGAGGGGAAAAGTCATCTATATTCACTGTGGTGGTTGCTTTTGCTCATTTAGAAGTTAAACCTGCAGCCTCTGTAGAGAGGAATGCAAAGCCGGATGTCTGGTAAACAGGCCAGGGTTTTACAGTAAGCTGGCAAGTGTCCTTCACAGCCTATCCGTATGCCTCCCCTGCCCCCAACATTCTTTCTTTCTTTTTGGTTACAGGCCAAGAAAGGAGAGGGAATCTCCCATAACGACGTTTGAACGGAGCACATTACTAGAACGCAGAAATACTTTTTTGGACAACTATTTCTCCAAGGTAAATGTTGCCATTGTAGGAAGAAGGGGGTACAGGGTTACATTGTCAGAGGGCCCTGTGACCGGCCGCACAGAGCTCTGATTGTATAGCCTAGTTCAGACTGGGACTGTGAGTGAAAGGGGGAGCGAGAGAAGAAAGGAAGGCTGTCGCAGCTTCCTGCAGCCCTCACTGAATGTGTCACCAGGAGAACCCCCATCTCCCCCTGGGAGACCACGGGGCTGGTCAGCAAGTGTGTGGGAAAGGGGGGGCAAGACTGTCTGTTTAGACTGGAAATAATTTTCATTCCTTCATGATGAAAGAGTCAAGGGATCCTAAATAAAGGTCAGATAAAGTGTGTGTTCTGCACATGTCACATGGGACGGGGGAGGGGGTCCCAGACTTCACATCAACTAAGACACAAGTAAGAAAAGTTTTAAGAACTCTCTGTGCTTTTCTGAAAATGCACACCAAGTAACCCTTTCACAGATTTCTAAACGTCTCATTTTGAAAGGCCATGTGCTTAATGCCTGTGTTCTAAAGAGAAGCCATTGAAGGGGAGACAGGCAGTCCTTGGGACCTGCGAGGAGTGGGCTAGCCTTGTCTTACATATCCAGGGGAATAGCTGCAGGCTCTTCCTCTCTGAATCATGAGCTTAGCAGGCACTAAGGCTTAAGGGAAGCAACAGAGGCCATAGTAGCTCTGGCTCTTGTGACCCAGCTCCTAGCATCTTAATACAAACTCCTATGCAGTTCCTCTGTTGCCCTTCGTAGCGAAAGGCTATTTTCACTAAGCCCTGAGCTTTTTCAAAATGAAGCATTTCCGCCTTTTTCCTTACAAAAGTATCTGTGTGCTCATATCCAGAGGGATGAAACAATATACAGCCGGAATAAAAATCTACTTGTCAACCTTCTCTGGTTAGAAGATAATACATGGTTGGCGATCGTCCACCCTTGCTGTTCTGGAAAGCAGTTTCAGATTGGCAAGAGGAGAGTGTTCTGTCCTCCCCTCCCCCGGTGGCTCTCCTCGGAAGGCTTGTGGGAGTGTAGGCTGTACATCAGAGGAGAGCCTTGTGATACTGTTCCCTCTCCGCTCTGACAGAGAAGACATTGTTTGCTCGCTGTAATAGTCTTGGCAGGAGTCTCCGCTGTGCATACAGAATGGGGAAATGGCAGAGCAGTGGGGAAGCTCAGAATCCTAAGAAACACATCAGCTTGGGGATTTTATAAAATATGTTTTAATAGCTTCTCATTACCAAGATGCAAGTTATAATTTGGGAAACGTTTTCCTTGGCTCCTTTCTTCGCGCTGCATTATGCCTGTATTATACAGACAGGCCCTCAGAGAGCAGGGTGCCATCTCAGGCTGCAGCATCAAGACTCTCCGTCCTCCCTGCGTGTGCCAGACAGCCTTAGAGGGTGCTCCTTGTGCATGAGCGCTCACATTGTTGCCAGTGACGTTAGCCTGAAACTCACAGAAACCATGTTTCCCCTAAATAAGAGAAAAGGCACAGTTAACGGTGGGCAGAGAGTAAGAGGTGCAGGGTAAGTGCCACCCACAGTGCTCCAAACCTTGAAGGCACCAACTGAAGAAGGAAACGGTCAAAGTCTCTGCAGTCTGGACTGGACGCTGCCAGGTCCCAGTTTGGAGCTTGACCTCCAGCTAGCACTGACTGTGCTTCTCCCCCAGCCTCGCCTTTATATAGGAGGACAACCCTTTGAATATTCCCAGCTGCTGCATTTTGTATGTCTTGAGATTTCTAAATGTGCAGTTGATAGTGTCGGGACCTTTATATAGGAGGACAACCCTTTGAATAGTTCCCAGCTGCTGCATTTTATACGTCTTGAGATTTCTAAATGCGCAGTTGATAGTGTCGGGTCCTGAGGCTGTTGCGACCCCTCCAGGGCTTTTGAGATCACCTGTGTAAGATTCATCCTACACAGCTAGGCCCATCTTTTACTTGACCCCGGTGACATGAGTAATACAAATTATTTGCTTTGTTGTTTTTAAACTTACAAGTATTTGTTGAAAATCTTTTTAAATATGTTTGTATTTCTATTTTTTCAAATCATATATTTTTTAATTGTTTTTAAAAAATGTTTTTTTTTGTGATTATAACATATAGAAAGAGGGCGGGAGCTGAAACTCAGTAGTAGCATATATGCCTCATGTGCCTGAGGACCTCCGTTCACTCCTTAGACTCACAACCCACAATAATAAATACTAATGATGATAAATAAACTGAAGCAAGAGTAGAGGAATGCATTAATAGGACAGTGTTTGGGACCGAATAACAAGGAAATCAATAAAAATTACTAAGATTTTCAGCAACCTTCCTTTCTTGTTTCCAGCTGATGCATTTCAGTTTACCTGCTTTTAATGTCTTTTGTTGTTTCTAACAACTGGGTAGAATATGCCACTGTGCGAGGCACCTTAGAGAGCTGGGTCAGCCACTCCTGGCTGTGTCAGGTCTGTGGAGGGGCTGCTTAGATAGAAGGCTGTCTGCAGCCGACCTGGAGACACCATGGCTTCCAGGAGAAGCCCACTTGTTTATCTTGAGTCTGGACCCCCCAGTAACACCGTTGTCTTCCATGGCTTCCAGGAGAAGCCCACTTGTTTCTCTTGAGTCTGGACATCCCCTCTCCCCAGTAACACCATAGTCTGTAGACTTTGGCGCCCATGGCTTCCAGGAGAAGCCCATTTGTTTCTCTTGAGTCTGAATCCCCCAGTAACACTGTAGTCTGTGAGCATATACCTTCATACCTGTGAGCACAGCTCTTCAAGAGGGACAGGATTAAGAGCTCACAGGCAGCTAGATCCTTGGACGAACCAGTATTAACTGGTTAGCTATGGTTGTCCTGAAGGGAAGACACTGAGGGTCTTGTGTGACCACTGGTGTAAGTCATCTCTGTCCACTGTGAGAAGAAATGTCTATGAAGGGAAGATACAGCAAATCTGAGCGGTGCTTTCTTGTTTAACAGACACATCTTGGCTCCTGGAAAGGGATGGGGCAAGCACTGAGGTCTTAAACTGCGGCCTGCACAGCTGATGGTTAGGATACCCATTTTACTGAAAATGAAACATAAGTTCAGAGAGGGTAAGAACGTGAGCAACAAGAACAGAGTCAGCCATGTCACCCAGCAACAGCTGTGGAATGGGCTTAGGGTGCCAGGTGCCGTACTAACCACCGCAGGGGCCCTGGGGACCACACCAGGTGCCCTGGGGACCACACCAGAGCTTGCCAAGCTTCACTTCCTTTAGATCTATAGACAACGGTCACACACACTTGGAGACAACCTTTGTCTGATTGTGTTCCCCTCTGTCGGAAAGTAATCTACAAACTCCTCCTGTCTAAAGTGGACAGAAGATATAATCATTTAAAACAAAATGCCAGCCATGTCCTTCACGGCCCTCCATGGGTCCATTACCCTCTCCGCTGCTGGGAGATGAAGCTCCTTGTGGCAGCAGACTTGTCACCTTCGAGAGCACCCTCAGCTGAGGCTGATGTGTCAGGAGATAAACATGTGGCCATCTCTGTCCTCCACTTGATTCCTAGGGTCTCGTCTTAACCCAGAACCTCCCAAGGCGTGTTCCAAGGAGTCTTCATAGGTGCAGCTTCTAACCATGGCCCCAAAGAAAAGAGAGATGTTTTGCAGATACAAGTTAGAGAGGATTAAGTTGATTCACTTGTTATAAGACTTGCTCAGAACTTTCTTGTGACTCTCTAATCTAATAATCTTGTGAGGTGTGGCCTGGAGAGTTTCCCTCCGGTGGGGGGAAGTATTTCTCGGCATCTCTCGGACAGTACCATCCTAAAGAACAGGAGGGGAAAGAGTCTCCTGAACCGGAGGCCACCATGTGCTAACTAAAACTCATAAACTCCTTCTAGGATCCCTGCCTTGCAGTCAGACTTTGAAACAATAGCCACTGAGCCCTGGGCTTTCTCATCTGTGAAATATGCCACATAGAACTGGATTATTTCCAAGCTCTCTGTATCTTTATTACCTGGGGACTGTTGATTACATGCCCTATTCCAGAGCACACGGTACCCAGCACATGGCGAGGAAAGCATGGCAGGAGTGAAATGAGGTACAGGGAAAAGGGGGGCGGGGGTTGCCGGAATACAGATGCAGTGTGCAAGATCCTGGGCGGTGGCTCTGATAGAAACAGGTTTTATTTTATTTTATGAACAGTTTGAAAGGGAGCTGTGTCCTTTGCTTCATGATTAATGATGTTCTAAACCCAAACAATTAAACATTCCCAGGAGAAACAACTGTCCCAGTTTTGAGACCAAATTTTTTTCCATAGTCCTTTGGGTAGCGATTTTGGCTCTGCTGCAAGACCTGGGACCTCAGCAGGTGTGAGCCACAGGAGGCTGTCCTGCATTGCCCTCTTGCCGGAGCTCCTGGACCATGCAGCCATGCTTGTGTGTGTGATGTGTGAGTCTTGACTGGCTGAGTCTGAGGGATTCTCTAAAGCCTGGGGAGCTGTGTGACAGAAAGCCCCAGGTCCCAGGAAATGCTGTCAATGGCAAAGCATGCTAGCCTGACTTTTAAACTGGCCCTTGCTTTCAGGACTCCCATTTTGTTCCCATGTTCTCAGGACCCCATCTTCTTTCCCTTCACTCTGTAATTTCTTATGATGTGCCTGGGCCTAGACTAGCAAGTTCTTCCCAGAAGCCACGCCACAGAAATCCCTGGGATTCTTCATGTCCAGGATGTACACATTTCCTCATGCTAGCGATGGTGCTAACATGGATCAAGCCCAATCGCTGTTTTTAAAGAACTGATAAATGAAATGATGACCTAGATGTTTAAGAAAGTAATAATGTTTGAGAAAGGTGTTTTGGAATGTGTCAACAGAGAAAATCAGGTGAGCAAACACACTTTTTCCTTAGGGTTTGTATAAACATTCAAATTTCTCCTCTCCATTTTCTGTAGTTTTCAATATCAGTTAAAAGTGGTTTCTTTATACATATATGGATAGCCACTTGTTGACAGTGAACATTAGGAGGCATTGCTCTCG